GTATACTAAAATGATATACTATATATCATTTTGGTATAAAGTTCATTCCAACGGTATACTATTACAGTATACTATATAATGTAGCAATATACTATTATAATTTGGTCCTTTTACAAAAAATTTTAAATTTTTTATTGATTTCTTTTTCGACTTTTCAACGGAGTTCTCGTATTTTTTTAATTTTTTCTTAAACCAAAATATTAGTTTGAAAATTTTGATTGGAAGTTGTGGCTAACGTTTGAGCCAATTTGATGGAAATTCTGGAGTAGATTTTTAAGATTTAGGTTGAAATTGAGTTGAACTAGCGAAAAAGACTAATTTTAACTATATACCAACATAAATACTATATACTATTTGGTATATAATATTTAATTTAATAATGTATAATTTATTGCGTTGAACTGGCGAAAAAGAATTTGTATTGTATACCAAAATGATATACTATATACTAAAAATAAAGGAGCCAAAAATGTGAACAGAATTAGATATTGAAAAAGGAAATAAAAATGATTTGAAATAACAATAAATGAAATTAAAAAAAGAAAAAAGAAAATGAAAGCAAAAAAGAGAAGAGAAAACAGTTATAATGTATAAGTTGTTCTAATAATTGAACAAAAATAAAAAAAAATAAAAAAAAGAAATGTATATTATATAAGTTATATTAAAAAACAAGGTGAACAAATATTTAGTATATCAATTATCTTTTCTTATTGTATAAAAAAAGAAGAAGAATAAAAAAGAGCAAATTTTAAATAATAATAAATTAGATTATAAAGAGAAAAAGGAAATAAAATAAAAAAGGAGTTAAATGAAATTAGAAAAGGAACAATAAACAAAGAAAATAAACATAAGGAAAAAAANTTTTCTTATTGTATAAAAAAAGAAGAAGAATAAAAAAGAGCAAATTTTAAATAATAATAAATTAAATTAGATTATAAAGAGAAAAAGGAAATAAAATAAAAAAGGAGTTAAATGAAATTAGAAAAGGAACAATAAACAAAGAAAATAAACATAAGGAAAAAAAAAGATGGAGCCAAAATTGAGTGTGAAATAATACTGGTAAAAATAATAATAATGATCTAGGCAAAACATAAATGAACAGAAAATGAGAGAAGAAAAAAATAAGAAGAAAATGAGAAAAAAGCAAAGGAGAAAAGAAAAGAAACAGAGAAATAAAAAAGAAAAGGAGAAAAAAGAGGAAATTACCCACAAAAGCTACAATGAGTATAAAAAGTAATTAGTTTGATGAGTAAAAAAAATGAATGGACAAGGAAGGGTAAATAGTTTTATTTTTATGGATAATTGTGTCATTCACCCTATCCAAAAATCTGAAATACCAAATCCAATATCCAATACGAAATTCAAAAATTTAAAAAATTAAATCCGAAAATCCAAACCAAAAGTCCAAAAATTTTGAATTTCGGTTTGGATTTTGGGTTTACCCAAACTGAACCCACCCCTATTAACTTGTAATAACATAGCTAGTTGTTTTCTTTATTTTAGGGCTATTAAAATCAAGAAGAATAAGCATTATTAGAAAGAAAGCAAACCCAGAAAATTAAAGGAGTAAAATGTTTTGCTGTTATCTTTATGGACGATTTTTAAATCTTCTTAGGATCAATTTCTGGATGTGCACTCAATTAATTTAGTGAATTAGTTTTGTAGTAATAATGATGATCTAAATGCATCAATTGGTTTGACAATGCAAACTAAATATAGCAATTCTTTTTTGTAATATATCAATTTAAGATGAGGGAATAAACACTGGATATAATGTGGTAAGGCCGTAAATGAATAAGGAAGATTGATCGAAAATGCATGTTTAGTGGCTTAGGGGAAGAATTTTATAACCTGTGCGTCCATCCACTCCACTCATCCCCGCATAAGCTGAAATCCGCACCGCCCCATTGCCAACCCTTAGTATGTTCCGTAGGTCTAAATATTTCCACATTTTTGGCTGTTAGTTACAAAAAGCTGTAAAATTTTGGGTCCTTTAGCCAAAATCTCTAATATAAATGCAAATATAGCAACTTTACCAACAAAGGCTAAAATATAAATGTCTTTGATTTACATTTAGGTGACAACGGATGACAATGTAGTTTTGCCTCCATTAGGATTTTAAGATTTTTCACAAATAGTACAAGGCCTAACTAATATTTTCTTAGTAATAATAATAAAATCAGGATTTGATTATGACTAAACTTATGATTCCTTCCCCTCTGTTGGTTCCACGCTCACCAGCAAAGTTTTGGCATGTTAGAGTTAGACCCAAAAAACAAAAAAAGTTAAGCTGGAAGTAGTCTCATATTCTCAGTTAAAGCTAAAGGCCTTGGTATAGTAAAAGTGTGGTGTGTGCTCTCTTTATTCTGTTGACGCGCTCTTAGGGCTATCTAGGAGGCTTCTGCGTGTTAGGAGGTGTCATACAAATAGTAGTGAAAACATAAATTAAGATGAATGGGGAAGAAAGTATTACCATTGACATAATATAGCATCAACATATGTAAGATAACAGCACCAGAGAAGAAATAAGCAGAGCAAGAAGTAATACAAATCATTGAGATGCCTACTAACATAATGGTTTAAGTAAAATCATTGAGCTCCAGACAGATATGCAGATGGACACAGGAGCAAATTGACAAAAAACATTGCCCAAACATTCAGTCAAAATCCAGAAGTTTTTTATCACTCTGAAAAGGATTCAGAGACACAATTGGTGAAGTATCTAAACCACCAGAAACAATATGGCTTGTCTACCCTTTCGAATTCCTTGGAATTACCTAATGCAGCAAACAATGTGAATTCAATGTTCAGCAGTCAGAGCTATGCATTCATTCTCCAGTAGGGTTCGATTATCATTTGAAATGATTCTGGAGAAAAAAACAATTATGCATTCTCTTTTCAGCAGTTCATTTTGTAGTTTCAAATTCATGGATTAATTCAGTAAGTAATCCAGCCAAAATCAGAGCTGCTATGCATCAAGTAGCAACTATATGCCATGAAAACTGGACATAGCTTCAGTCGTGGTAATCCACTAGATCGTTCCTCCACAAACTAGCAAAAACTGAGATAGATTACTAATCTTTGATTTAGCAATAGAATTTGGTCCTATAGAAGCAAATGCTGCTCAAATCTTTAACTCTTAGGTTATCCTCAAGGTCTTCTACCACCTCATACCCTTTGTCCTCCTGATGCACACAAAAACGCTGATCTAGCCACCAAAAGGATTTGAAGAAAGCAGAGAATACAAATTTAAATGTCTGGCATAAACATGAGAAAAGGGGGAAAATATTTTACTGATACTTGATGACGTTAAGCTAGATCTTCCACACAGAATTTCTGTGGAATCAAATTCAAAAGGGACAATTTGATGAATGCTACAAGATACAACATAAAACTAGTAATCTTGAAGCAACAGTGCAGATGCATAGTTTATTGTGTCATAACAATACACAAGCAAAGCAATGAATAGCAAATGCAGATGGTCTTTAGATGAAAAGTTAGGTCAACAAGTAGTGACAGCAAGATGTGATTTAGATGGCTGCTTTATTTGGAATGTCAAACTTCAGAAGGATAATTCTAAAAAGAGTAGATGGTGGTAAACGCTTCTTTTAACAGTTAATATCAAATACGTAAAGTCTTATTTGTGATTTGGAGGTGTTCTTTAATTTTTCAGCATGAAGTCTTGCCAAGCTCAGCCTTTACATATGCAAAGCTTTCCTTTTCCCACAAATTAAATTAATTCAATAGAAAGAAAAAGAAGGGTTTACCTTCTTTTCTGCTCTTTAACTTGTGTATTTGCTGGCAAAAGCACTGAAGATGGTTTTATAGCAAAGGCTGGGTAACAGTAGAAACACCTCATTCGCTTTATCCAAAAACCAAAATATCCAACAAAATTTGTACACTACATGTTATAAACGTATGAAGTTGACTTGATCGCAAACTCAATTAAGACTACATGGGACTAGCTATTTTCAAGCAAGAAAGCCTCAAAATCTGTTATACATATCTTTTTAAAAATGAATAAAGGGAAAAAAGAAAAGAGAGCAAAATCTAAGCTCTCTAAAATGAAATGGTGATGATGTCATTGTTAACAAATAATCAAGATCTTGATTGCTGATGGCAGAAAATATTAACAAGTGCTAAACAATACTGTGTTGCTCCGACAAACAATCTTGCATTCCTCTCAAAATCATTCATCTATCTCTGCCTTCACACAGAAAAAAGATTATGAAGAGTTTACCTCAATAGTCTAAACTATTATAACAACAGTATGAGATACCAAAGTCAAACTCTTGCAAGGCACACTAAGTAAAATTAGGCACTAGGACGATAACCCAATAGAACTTTCAGGGCCTATGGGACGTTTACTAGCATTATAATTGCATTAGTCCACTTCAAACATTGTTAGAGTCCTCATTGACTAAGAAATATACCAAAATGAAGAATACACCAAAGAGCCAAGTTTTGTCTGATTTACCGCTTTGATACATAAAATCAACGAAGCCCTATAACCTGGACAATGCCAATTCCTCCTTACGAACCACAATTTCAAATTGAGAGCTGAAAGTTAGAGCTGAAAAAAGAAAAGAGAATTTTCCCCGAGATCAGCATCATACTATAATCAATTAATCAATCAATCAACTATACCTCAATAGTCAATCGCAAGCTTACTGGGTCGACTATATGAATACATTCAACTATATTCATGTATATCATCAATCAGAAGAAATCATCATGTGCACGTCCACTTCCCAAGCTGAGTAAACAATAAATTACAATGATAATCAAATAATCATCAGTTAAAAACACAATAATATGAAGCGAAATTTCTGGTACCTTTAATACAATTATCGTAACTATATCGTTTAATCAGGAAATCTCAGTTCCCTTTTCAATTCTCAAAAGAATCACCTAAATTCTTATTTTTCCATTGTTAAAAATCACGGTAAAAAAAAAAAACTAAAAACTAAAAACAAAAAACTTTTGATTGGCCAACCTTACTAGCCCTCGTTTTGGTCAAAACTACTTGAACCCTCTCCAGATCCAATCTCCATTGACACTGATTCCTTGTTCTCAGTTAGCTCCTTCTCGCGTTCCTTAATAACCTTTGCCTCTATATCTTTCTCTACCTGCAAAATTGGGGCGTAATATTCCGAATGTGCCTCCATACATTTCTGCAAAGCAGAAGTGACTTCAAAACACTTTTCCGCAATGTTTTCTTTGTTCGTTTCACCTTTTTCAACGCATTTCTCCCATTCGGTAAAAGTGTCTTTGCAGCCATCCGCTTTCATATACAAACCGAACCCACATTCTCCTTCTTCGTCATCCTCTTCTTCTTTTTCTTTTTTCTCCAAAATGGTGTCCTTTTCATGAATTTCGTCTTGGGTTTCTGGATTGTTCTCGGTTCCGGGGGTTTTGGTTTGAGGGACGGTGGTGGAGTGGGGATTTTGTTCGTGGATTTGTGGGGATTCTGAAGAAGAAGACATAGCGGGGGTGGGCGTGGGGTGGAATTGGTGGAGCTAGGGTTTGTGACTGAAGGCGTAGACAAAGGGTCTCCCATGGCAACTCTTAAACTCCCTTAAAACCCTCTTTCTCAAGGATTAAAAAATAAACTTTTTTCTTCTTTTTTGTCGATCACCTTTACTCTTTCTTCTTTTCTTTGCCTTTTTTTTTTCTTCTTCTTCTTGAACAAGCCCGTGCTGATTTGCGGAGTCCGAAACCAAAGTATGATATTTTGGACCCAAAACATAAAAATAAATGAAAACATAATCGGTGATCGTTTTATGTATAGCACATGGATTGCATGTGCTATACCTTAACGGCACGTTTGTCCGTTAAGGTATAATGCATGCAATATATGCGTTATACTTCTTAATTGACTGACCCATAATAATTGGTATATCACATACTTTATTGCGCTATATATATAGCGCGTTTAATTAATGTGCTATACCCTCCAATTATTGTACCCCGCACAACTTTTTTGCTTATTCAAAGAGTTTCATTCTTTCTTAAAAATTCATTCCGAAAATTCAGTCTTCTGGATCCTTTTTATTTTTCTTTACTCATTCTGAAATATTTGTTTACTTAACTTTTTCTGCATTTTGCCATAATATCCGAAGAGTGAAAAATTAGGGTTGCATTATATTGGGGGTGGTGATGTGTAAACAAGTTGTAAGTTATTATTATTGAAAGTTATATTGGTTAAAAGATTGTTTATAACATGTTAATTAATGGTCTTTTGTTGCCATCCCCATTTGTAGGACGAAAATCAATGTAGTTCTGAAGAATGGTATGATAAACCCATTAACCAGGAATACTACAAATCATGCTTGCTAAACATTTGGAATCTAACCGGTGAGTACGAACTCCAGATCTTGAAACTCGAAGAATAACTTGTAGCAGTGAAGGAGAAACTGAAAGAGGAAGAAGAAGAAAATAATCGGTTGGAAGAAAAATTTCAGTGGTTGAAGCATAGAATAATGGGCGATAGTGACTAAACAAACACATGGATGCGTTACGTGTAGTTTTTTATTTTTATGTTGTACGTGTCATGTATTATGTGTAATTTTTAATGGATTTAAATTTATGTTAATCTGTCGTATTTTTTTGTGTTCTAGTTTTAAACTAATAAATAACCCGAAAAATAAAAACACATGCACAAATTATATAAAACATCAATAATTTTACTATTAGATATTTAATGTCATATATACTACTCAATACATATCAATGAGTCCCACAACCTGTATGCTTTAAAGCATTGGCTAGCCTGAGTCGCATACCATCCCGCCCGGCTACGCTATTAGGATCATTCTCATCACGTCGCCTCTTTATCGGAGGATGCATTGTAGCATGATCGTTAGTAAGGCTAGTAGGATCAGTAGAAGCGGTTGTTGGGCCATTAGTAATCTACAAAATAATAAGATATTTTAGTATATGAAGTATAGAGACTAACACACGTGTTAGCAAAAAATATTTAATGGTCATATCATGGTCTCAGCGGGCTCCTCAATAAGGTCATCCATATTCGGCAAGCAAGTATCGCACAATGTGGCCTCCGTAATGGGTGATGACGAAATCTTTAAAAATATAAATAATTTAGATATTACTGACTAATCTATAAGGTAAAATAAATTAAAGTAATAGTAATACAAACAAACCTGCGCCTGAGTAGCCACGCAATGCTCTGTGGGAACTCCGAGGTGCACTGGAGTAGATGAAGGTTGTGACGTCTCGACCCGATATGATGTCTCCCTATCTGTGCCTGCAAGATCCTCAGCATCCCTCGATGATGAGCCATAACTCAGTCGTCGCCCACTATGCACCTCCCATATCGGACAATCCTTAGCAACCCTCGATGGCTCTAGACGATCAGGAAAATACTAATTCCAATCATATTGCGTAATGGTGGTGCCCACGATCAACACTGGAGCTAACAGGGTCAACTATGAAGTCCCTGGTGACAGCTGAAGGCTGAATAACAACATATCATAAGGAGCATCGTATGGCTCAGGGTATTCACCCGGCTGATCATCTCCAATATCCTCCACGGGTGCCTCAACTCCCCTGTAATGACCTGGCCGGTCATTTTAAGAATATTATCCCCTAACCCCTATTTATTGCTCCCTCTATTTCATTTTGTGGTTTCGGAGTGAAATGAAACACATAGACCCTAAAATAGAATTTAAGTTCTAGGAATTTACCGTAGTTTGAATTGTATGAAGACGACTCTGTAATGGAGTTTCGATGGTTTCAATAGCTTTGTAGGGTGATTTTGGTCTTAGGAGTGTGTTCGGATGTTGATTTGGAGGTCTGTAGGTCATTTCGGCATTAATTGGCGAAAGTTAGAAAATTGGACTTGTGAAAATGATGAAGCTCCCAGTTCTGGTGTCATCGCACATGCGGAGGGATTGGTCACAGATGTGGACTCGTATGTGCGAGAAATGGAGCGCAGAAATGGTTATGGGCAGTCCAGGCAGGACTAGCAGGTGCGGACCAGTTTCGGTAGAAGCTGCTTCGCTTCTGCGGTGGGGAGATGCTCAGGTGCGAAGCTGGCTTGACCCAGTTGGGATCGCAGGTGCGAGGTGAGGGCCGCATATGTACGTCCGCAGATGCGGAGGTTCGATCGCAAAAGTGGGTGAGGATGGCCTGGGCTAGGGTCACAGAAGTGGGCTCGCACTGCAAAAGCGAAAATCCTGGCCATAAGTGGAATCCGCACCTGCAATGGTTTTTTCGCAGGTACGGCATCGCAAGTGCGACTGAGGACTCGCAGAAGCGACTTCACTGGGCAGAAAAGGCCTAATTTCGAGGGTTTGATCTCACTTTAATTTTTGCACCTAGGGAGCTCGGTTTGTGGTGATTTTTTGAGAGATTTGCAAGGAAATCATTGGGGTAAGAAATTCTCACTCGGTTTTGGCTATATTACATGAATCCATTGTTGTTTTCATCATTTAATTAGTCTTCTTAGTTGGAAATTTGAAGAAAAATTGGTAAAACTTCTTAGACTAAAATTTGGGGATTTGAAAGGCGATTTGAGGTTGGATTTGAGTAATTTTTGTATGGTTGGACTCAATATCGAATGAGTGTTCGGATTTTTATAATTTTGGTAGGTTCCGAGACGTGGGCCCGGATCGACTTTTTGGGGCGATTTTTCAATTCTTTGCAGAAGTCATAGATTTATTATTATATTAGTTTCTTATAGTTATATTTATAGTATGTAATTATTTTGGCTAGATTCGAGTCGATCGGAGTTGGAAAGTCGAGGGAAAGGCATTCTTATTGGTTGATTAAGAGAGACTTGAGGTAAGTGACTTGTCTAACCTTGTGTGGGGGAAATTTCCCTTAGGATTTGGTACTGCTATGGTAAATTGCAATACGTGAGGGCCGTGTATGCGAGATGACTAGTGCGTACTCGGGCTAAATGTTGAAATCTGATTTTTGCTAAATAGTTCCTTTTATTTCCTTAATTGTGTTATTCTAGCACGCGTAGTCATCATGTTTAGCCTAATGTCACTTGTCTACGTGTCTTATCTCTTACTTGCAATTTGTGCAACATGCTTAGTTGAATTACCTGCTTCCCTGATTTTGTATTGAGTCCTTAACTGTAGGATTCCTTTCTGTAATTTCATTGTTCCATTGGTTATGTGTTGCATATTTATTTTTCGGACTACGAATCGGTACATTGGGAGCGCCCTTGTTGCATATTTACTTTTGGGACTACGAGGCGGTACCTGGGGAGTGCCCCTGTTGTGTATTTACTTTTGGGACTACGAGGCGGTGCCTCAGGAGCGCCCATGTTTTTTACCTCTATTTGTTGTGTTGTTGTTGTCGTTGTTGTTGTTTCTTTACTTATAAAAAACTTGTTTTTCCTCATGTGTTGTAGTTGTTTTCTTGAATCCCGTGTTGTTATCTTTCTGTAAATTCTCATTGTTCACTTCCCAATTATTTTATTATACTATTATATCTTCTGCCTTATTTCCTATTATTTCTTGTAGGGACCTGACCTCGTCACTATTCTACTGAGGTTAGGCTTGGCACTTACTGGGTACTGTTGCGGTGTACTCATACTATGCTTCTGCACATCTTTTTGTGTAGATCCAGGTACTGCTTACCAGACCAGGTACCAGTGAGCTAGCCCGTACGTGGAGACTTCAAGGTACATCTACCAGCATCCGCAGACCTCGGAGTCCCTCTCTATCTTTATTGTGTTGTTTCCCTCATTCCTTATTAGACTATGATGTATAGAGATATTTAGTATTTTTTTTTGTGGAACTTGTGACTTATTTTTACAGGGTTTTGGGAGTTGTAACTATTTTGAATCGCAATTCTTATTTATTTCAAATGTTCAGGTTGAGTTTTAGCTTTATATTCAGTTATTCCGAAAAATTATTAGGCTTACCTAGTCTTAGAGACTAGGTGTCATCACAGAATCCTACGGAGGGAAATTTGGGTCGTGACAAGTTGGTATCAGAGCACTAGGTTCATAGGTGTTATGAGTGACGAGTAGGTTTAGTAGAGTCTCGCAAATCGGTACGGAGACGTATGTACTTATCTTCGGGAGGTTATGGAACTGTTAGGAAAAGCTTCACTTCTTTGATTCCTTATCGTGCGAGATTTTGGCTTCAGATTCTCTATTTCTGTCTTTCTATTCTCTCATAGATGGTGAGGAAACGTACATCTATATTAGATGAATAGACACTTGCGCCCCCTGCTAGAGTCGCGAGAGGCCGAGGGCATCCACATGGTGCAGCCAGAGCACCCGCCCGAGCTGCTACAAAGGAGCCACCAGTAGCTCCAGTTGGAGGGCAGGCACCTGAGACGCTTGTTTCTGAACCATCCCTCCAGGAGACTCTTGCCCATTTTCTGAGCATGTTCAACACCTTGGCTCAGGAAGGATTGATACCACTTGCTCCTGCCATATCTCAGGCCGGGGGAGGAGCAAAGACTCCCGCTGCCCGTACCCCAGAGCAGCAATTCAGGCCGA